CAGGGATTAGAGACTAAGAGAGGAGGTCTGCAGGATTTTTAGGTGATCTCCTCTCTGACAGAGAACACCAGTGCAAGTGGTGAGGCTGAGTCTTGTGGTGCATTCACAAATTCACATTCTTTGCAGAGTCCCCCTGAGGAAGGATGGGTGCTGGCTCCTGGCATCCTATGCAGAAAGGCCATTTGCTCTATAGCCAGCAGCAGCACCAGGCAGAAACCATCCAAAGGCTAGGGATGCCCTGAGGGAAGTCAAGTCCAGCATGCAGACGGTGGTTGAGCAGGGCTATGGCTCTACTGTCACGCTGCTGTGGGTGACACGGACGCCGTACCAGCCCTTCCAGAACAGCGTGTCCTGGCCACCGTGCTCAAAGCGCACAAAGCGCACCCCGGGCCCGTAGCTGGAAAAGGTGTGAGAGATCTTTGGGACAAGAGACAAAAACAGTTGTTAGTAAGTGTCAAACCACCACACACCTCCTGCTGTTCAGTACACAGAGCCTTCAGCCCCACTGGTCACAGTCAGAGCTACCAGCCTGGGTAACAGTGGGAGAAGCTTTGATCCCATTGTTCCAAGGCCACCAAATCACTCCCAGCTGGACATTGTGTGTCCAGTTCTGGGCCCCCCAGTCTAGGAAAGACATTGAGATGCTTGAGCACATCCAGAGGGGGCAACGAGGCTGGTGAGGGGCTGGGAACACAAACCCTGTGAGGAAACACTGAGGGAGCTGGGGGTGCTCAGCTGGAGAAAAGGAGACTCAGGGGTGCCCTCATCACTCTGCACAGCTCCTGAAAGGTGCCTGTGCTCAGCTGGGGCTGGGCTCTTTCTCCAGGCTCAATGATCTTGAAGGTCTCTTCCAACCTTGTGATTTTGTGATTCTGTGACACCTCCTTACACCTGCTAGTGGTGACTCAGCAAGTTTCCTGTAAAGCAGCCTCCCTTTTCCTTTTTCAATCATAGGACCACGGCTCCAGAGAACACATGACAGAGCTTTCTCCTCCTCTTAGAGAATTCTTCTGCTTAAAAATATTCCTGATTCATGTAGGTTGGGTGTCACCTGCGGAGCCCATACCTGTAACTCACCTCAGTCCAGTTGGCATCATTTCCCTCTGGGATGGTGACAGTGTCACTTTTGTACTCAGCCAGCACATCCTCATTCTCAGAGAGCAGCTTCACACACAGCTCATAGAGGCAGCCAGCATCACTGCGTCCTGCATACCTGCAAGGAGAGCCAAGGTGTTGCCATTACCTCTGAGAGCTCTGCAAAGGCTCCACCATGCTCACCAAGTCACTGAGGCCCTGCTTTGAGATGGAAATCTGCAATGGTTCTTAGCCCAGCCCACCACCTCCCCTCACTGACCACAGGAACCTGGGCTTGGAGTTCATGTGCTCCAACAGTCCAAAGCCTGTGAACTGCCTGTGAGTCCTGTCCCACATCCAGGACCCTGGCAGATGAGGTTTTAAGGCCCAATATCTAAATAAGGTCTATGCCTGCCCTCTCTTCCTTATCTTACTTAACCCTCTGCCTGTCCTCAGAGCCTTCCTTAATACTTACCAGTCTCTTACCATGATTTTAGGCTGGGTTGTATCCATCAGCTCTTCCCAGTAGCCCTCAGCCCTGAGGTCAATGACCTGAGCCTTTCGACACCACCTGAAACACAAGATGCCAATTGGTATCACAGTCTCTCCTGGGAGAACCAAAAATGCCCCCTTTCCTGAGTAAGAGAAGAAAGCAGCCTTACTCATAAGATGTGACAAAGTATTTATGGACTTCTTCACTAGGAAATTCTTTTCCAAAGTCCCCTGGGAGCTCTTCAATTTTCCAGCCATCACCTCCATTCTCTATCTCTCCCCAGTGCTCCAAGCCTTCTGCAAATGGCAGGAAAGAGACTTGGATGAGTCCTGTGGATGTGGGGAACTTGACCATCTCCCACTGGAACCTTCCTCTGCCTTATGAAAGTTTGATATTAGACACAGCACTGATTGATATGTAGACTATGGATATGTTTGTTAAGTAGAGGTCAGGCAAAAACCTTTAGTCTGACTGAGCCTAATCACGCCAAACTTTAACATTCTCCAGCAAGGGGCTGTGTATGGGGGGGTAGAAGTACTACAGGGAGAGAATTTAGGTATTCTGAACAGTGTCACCATTTTCAGTGTCACAGCACACAAAGACTCTGGGGACAGATGCTGATTGCTTTATTTCTAAGTTTTATAAAGCACTGAGTGGTATTTTCTGAAGCAAAGACCTTAAACATCACTGTTTTCAAGAGAGAAACCTGGATGCTGGAAAAGCTTGCAGAAGGTCACTTGTAAACAAAATGGGGGAGCTGTGTTGATACTGCTTTGGTCTGTGATGTGTGAAATTGTTGCTGTTTGGGTTGTGAGGCTTGGTTACTTCTGCTTATTGCTAAGCAGCTTATAGCTCTGGCAAGTGAAGGTCATAGATTCAGAATAATGGCACGTGGGGTGTGTGCCCAGTCTGTAACATGGGCTGAGGTGAGGAGGGTAAAAACACGACTGGCCTGAGCTGCTGCAAGGAAAGAAGCCTGAAGGGCTTGGTGAGCTGAGGGCAGACTCACCCCTGAGCTGGGAGAAGCTTCATCTCTCCTGTCATGGCTTAGCAAGAAGCAATAGAGAAACAAATGTCACAGCCACTACTGTGTTGGATGGTTTCTACACAGGACATCTTTGTGTCTCAAACATGATCCTTGCAGAGGTTAGATAAAGTTAATGTTATGTAAAGCCCTTTGCAGAGGCTGATTATGAAGGGCCTTTGTGCTCATTAAATGATTTTGCTGCACGGATTGAGTGACTTGACTCTTGGGCAGGGAGAAAATTCTGCAACCTGACAGCAACTAAGATCTATTTTCACAGACTAGCCAAACACAATTCTCAGTGACTGGTCACCTCTCTGACACCCTGAAGCTTGTTGTGATGTCTCTCACCTTCACCACATGGGTTCTTGATGAGATTCTTCCTTTTCTTACTCAGGAAGTAGAAGCTTTGCCAGTTCTCTGCATCTGACTCTGCTCTGGTGAGGCCTTCCTGCTGACACTTGAGGATCCAAAGCGCAGCTCCATCAACCAGGTTCTTCCACTGGCAGCAGACCAGGCGGCACACCAGCACCAGCTCCACGGCAGGGAGGGAGGCCAGGATTCGGATCAGGACTGCCTCAGGGAGGGACTCCATCCCTGGGGCAGGCTGGGCACAGCTGGCTGAGACAGAGGGTGCAAAGGAATGGTGAGGGTTTCCCACCCTCAACAATGCCAGACAATGATGCACTAGAAAAAAAAAGGGAAAATAAATATGTTATCTGAAGGCATGATTTGGATTCCTAGCCTCAAGGTCTCCTGTTCCCCATTACATTAATATCCTGAAGCAGATTACTATTTTTATATTCTAAGTAAAAGCCCTGAATGAAATCTGCCCACAAAATGTATGTATTTGACCACTGAGTTTGTTCATTTTCCAGGCTGGAATCAGTCCTTCCAGAATCAGTCCTTCCAGAATCTCTGCTGCTGCAAAAATCAGCTTCCTAGTAATGATTTCCTCTGCAGAGGAAGGCACATGGGTGTTTGTTCTGCCTTTAAGAACAACCCTGATAACAAATGCTGCAAAGCAGTACTCAGATATTCCAGCTTCTTGCCAGGTACCTCTGCAGTGGTTCATTCTATAGCTGACAGTCTTTTCCCTCAGAGTGCCGGCACTTAATCAGGAGCCTGTATAAAGTAAAGGTCTGAACATAAGTGAAAATAACTCAGCTGATATTCTCTAATATCCTATTGTCTATGGCCTCATAACTGGAGGAATGAAGTCAGAAGTGTTTGCTCTAACTCCATGTGCTAATTCTGAACTCCAAACAGCTCTCTGCTGCCCTGAGGTCCAGCCCAGGTGCTGCAGGGCTATGGAAAGATGAGTGTGCAGATTCAGAGCCCAGGTCATCCGTGAGGGATGCACTGTGACACTGCTTTTATGTCAGCTGAGTCCTGGTGCTGGGAAGGTGCTGAGATTGCAGCAAACCGCATGGATGCGGCCAAACTCCTCAGGAATGACTCATTAAGCCTGGGAGAGCACCAAGAACAGAGGTGAAATACCCTGGCATGCAACTAAACAAAATACAGCGGTGCCAAACCTGGCAAGGCAGGGAAGAAACTGGGAGTCACTGCTGTAGCAGCATCCTACATCTACACGTTCAGATGTGTCCTCTATCTGCACTGCAGCCAGCAGGGGCAAACTGTACCTTAAACCTCCCTGGCTTTTATGGAGACAGCATTAGTGATTTGTTATTCTCCCCACACTTCCAACCTTCAACCACAGTCCCGAAGGCCAAAACGCAATTTTTTAAAAGTAGGCGGGAGGGATCATGCTGGTTTAATCTCGTACAGGAATTTCAGAAGCCTCTCCCGCTCCCTGCCTGCTGTTAGCCAGGCTTCCCTTCGCACTCGGGAGAGAAGCGGAGGTACCTTTCCTTCCCCGCCGAGGCAAGCATCCAAACCGGGAAGGCTTTGCATCAGGACATGCTCCCGGCAGCGCCCACCCCCTGACGCGTTCGGGGTACACGCGTGTCCCTCCTCCCTCCCCAGCGCTGCCCAGGAGACACCCGGGCAAACCCGCGGAGGCTCAGGGGAGGCACCGAGCGCTCTTACCTGAGCCGCTGCTGCGCGGGCTGGCCGGAGCCGGGCTGGCCGGATATATATACATATAAGCCGCGCTGCACCGGCCACGGCACCCGGGGCTGGAGAGGGCGGCCAAAGCTCCCGGGATAGAGCCCCGCCCAAACGCGGCCCCGCCCAAACGCGGCCCCGCCCAAACGCGGCCCCGCCCTATTCCGCCCAAACGCGGCCCCGCCCAAGCGCGGCCCCGCCCTATTCCGCCCAAACGCGGCCCCTCTCCAAGGCCCCGCCCAAAGGTCCCGCCCCAAGGCCCCGCCCAAACGCGGCCCCGCCCCGCCCCAGCGCGGCAGCCCCGCCCCGCGGCCCCACATCCGTGTCCGGAGGCGCAGATGGGCGGAGCCAGGTGGGGCCCGGGCCGGGGCGGCTTACGGCGGGGAGCGGGCCTGGGGCCGGGCGGGCTGGCCGGGAGTCTGTTAGTCACGAGGGGAAACCGCCTTTGCTTCCGGCAGCTCGGCCCGCCGTGCCGGGGATCTCCCGTCGCCCTCCTGCGGCCCGCGCTCTGCCATGACAAGCATCGGAGACCTCCCCGAGGACGTGCTGGTGGAGCTGCTGTCGCTGCTGCCCGCCCGGGACCTGCTCCGCACCTGCCGGCTGGTGTGCTCGCAGTGGCGGTACGTGGTGGACCTGACCACGCTCTGGAAGCGCAAGTGCCAGCGCGACGGGTTTTATCGTCAGAGCTTGGAGAGAAGCATCTCTGACTGGAAGACCTTCTATGTGCTCTGCCACTTGAAGAGAAACTTAATCAAAAACTCTTGTGCTGAAGGTTTGTTTCGTTATTTATAATAAAGGACTAAGGGTTTCCGAGCAGTCCGAATGAGTCAGTATCCTGCATGCCTCAGCTGCTGCTGGTGCTGTGGGACTGTCCAGCTGGTGGGTGTAGCTCTGCTAGGTCAGATCCACAGTTCGACTCCTGCAGTAAAACTGCTGCAGGTAGATAGATAGGTATGTATTTACCAATACTTTGTGGTTTTAGCCAGAAAAATCTGGAGTCAAAAGGTTCCAATATGGCAGGCAGTGACAATTAATTTGCACTGCAAGTACAGTGTGGTAGTGAAACGATCAGATATTGGGATCAAACATTTGGGCAGCTGAAGAACTTTTGTTACCAAAGACTTGACTAATATAACTACAGTCATCCTGCTTTATTGCTGCTGCTGATTTTCTGATGAGGTCAGAAATCTGCTACCTGCTGTCCTAGATGCTGACAGCCACATAAAGGTAATGGCAGCATAATGACAGGAGTCACTTACAGCTGTAGGAAAAATACAGTGGATCTGAACACATCAAGTAGCTTCCTAGAATTCTTCTGTTGCTGATTCTAACAAAAGCTGAGATCCTGCTGGTAGCTGAAGTGAGGTCCTACCCCTCACCTTGGATACCTGTGTTTTTAGAGAACTTCCAGCACTGGAGACTTGATGACAATGAAGGAGATAAGTGGAAAATTGAGGATCTGCCTGGAGCTCATGGAAATGATATGCCAGACCCCAGAGTACACAAATACTTTGTCACTTCATATGGGTAAGAACTGGATTCCAGTGATCTGGAACTGGGAAACCTGTTTCCTCCCATCTGTCTGAAAAGGCACCATGGTTAGAAAGCTGGTGGCAGGTTACTGAACCTTAGATCACCTGTGGGAAAAGGAAGGAGCTTCATTAACCCTTTATGCCAATTAATCTAAAGAGATGGGTACTGCTGAGAGAATTGATCACAGCAGGTGCTAAATTTCTCTGCCTACCAGGAACTTCCTGTGATTTTTATAGTTGGGATAATCCACATGGGGTCCCTGCTTCTCCTCTCCCAAAGGTGGTAGAGAAAGGTTAAGGGTCTGGGAAACTCAGTCAACTGTACTGACATGACAAGGTCAAAACTCTGTAACCTTCAGGAGTGGTAGGTGTGTCACACAAACCATTTGTAATAAAAGCTGTCACCAGAGGAGGAGCAACAGCTTTTACAAGCTTTTACAAGTCACTGGTTTCTTGTTACCAATACATCAATACAGAGACCCTTCTTAATCCAGCTTGTAGGTAACTATTCTTTTTATCTTGGGGTGAAGCTAATTCAGTTCATTTTCTTTGTCAGGTTCTGACTATGGATAAGGCAGGGTTTAGCCAGGTCAGCTTTGTGGGCCTTCAGGATCTGGGTGGGTATTAAAGCTGTCAGGAAAAGGACAGCAAGAGAGAAGTGTTCTGTAGAACTGTGAGTATTTCTGTGTCTGTTTCAGGCCATGTTTCAAGTCTCAACTCATTACCCTGGAAAAAGAAGGCTATTGGAATCAGCTGATGGATGAGAAACGGCCTGAAATTACAGTCAAGGACTGGTGAGTGGAAGCACTGAAAATTAGAATTTCTGGCATTGGTCTAGAGGTAAGCTAGGCTTCTGGAGCTTTTCATGACATAAAGTCAGTTTTTTATTCTTTGGGAGTTGTAGTTCTTGAGGAAGAGTAAGATAAATCTAAACTCACTCAATGGACTACATGGTGGCAATCCTGTGAAGGGTGGGATAGCTGTAAGTTTTACAAATTCTCTATAGCTATGGGGATGACACTCCTTCACTCCTTTTCCTCTGCAGACAGGGATCCCCTTGGAGACTGCTTTTGAAAAATAAAGAAAACTGAATGCTGTATATACAGCCCTGCTCCTTGATTCCTCCTGCCTCTCCAGGTACGCTGCCAGGTTTGACTGCGGGTGCCGCTACGAGCTCACCGTGCAGCTGCTCTCCAAAAACCGCGACGTCCTGGAGGAATTCCATCCCGAGCCAGTGGTCATTGAGCAGTGGAGTGATGCCAAGTGGAGAGAGGTGAGCAGCAGCCAGGGAGGCAGGAGCTTTACAGCAGTGTTGTGACACTTGTGTCTTGCAAGTCTTACTTGGCCAAAAGTGCCAGTGGACTTTCTCTGCTCTTCAGCCTCCTCTGCTCTGTAGAGAAGGTGAGTCAGTGCTTGCTACTGATGATGCTGAAGAAGCAGTAGTGTCCTGAATGAGTCAGATACTATTTTTAGGTGCCCAGCATTTTCTATAGAGTATCCTGTGGGCTTCTGTGTTGTTTTAATGCAGTCTTTTTAATTGTTTCTTGGTTTTATGTAAGATTCTGTTTAAATAATTAAATAACAAGAGCAGATTTCAGGGTCAAAAAACTGTTTTAAAACTACTGCATGGATATCCAAGTATTGCAGACTTAGCTTTTCTTAAACAGTTACAGGTGTTTAACTGGTTTGATTTGCTGTACATTCTGCATTAGATGTTACTTATACATGCACTTAAAAATCAAGCTTAATGTTAGCTTAACTCAGATAGGACTTAGGGGAGAAAGGCTTCTTTCTTCCCCCTGCCACCCCTTCCTCCCCCAAAAAACAGGGTATGGTGCACTTTCAATGAAAGCTATCTGGGCTCAGGAAGAGCTCATCACACACTGTAGTTTTCTGAGCTTCTAGGTGAACACTGGTTTATTTAGGCAAATTAAGAGGAATTCTCTTTTCTGTCCAGATTTCTCACACCTTCCGGGATTACCCAGCAGGAGTTCGTTACATCTGGTTCCAGCATGGAGGCCAGGACACGCAGTTCTGGGCAGGATGGTATGGGGTCCGTGTGACAAACAGCAGCATCACCATTGGGATGTGAAGCACTGTGGAAGGGTTTGCTTTTACCTCAGGACTGTAACCAAGTGGTCCCAGCTGCACTGTCTGCCTGTGCTGTCTGGGTGTGTCCTAGCTTTGTCTTGCAGCTCTTGTTCACAGTAGAACTTCAGCAGGCCCAGCCCTTTGGAATGGTGTTCTGTCTTCATCTTCCATTCTCTTCTACCATGGATGCTACTCCAATTATTGGTGCCCTTCCAGAGAAGAACTGGGACAATTAAATATGAGATCTATCCTTTCTAATTAATATATTCTTATGCTAACACACACAGTCTTAAAGACACTTTCTTGTTTATGGAATGTAGGATGGATAAGGCTAAAATGCTTAATTTCAGATTATCAATGCTTTCTACAAGCAGATTGTTTTGTATGGTATTTTCTTTCCTGTTTCAGCTTTAATATTCAGTTAGAGATTTATGATCTGCATCAGACCCTTCATAGCATCAGGAAACTGTCACTCCTTGTTCCTAAGTGCTGTGTCACTGTAGTGAATTCCTTATCCTTTAAGTGTTTATGATCAAAATGGCACCTACCTTCCTATCCAAAACAGTCCCTTGGTGTTTGAATAAACAGGTAGAGAAAGAGGAAGTAAAAAGTCCCTTCAGGCAGCTGCCTAACAACAAAAGTGCCTTTTGATTGTGCTGGGCTATTCCCACATCACCTTTGATTTATACTGAGCAGTGTAACCCAGTATAAAATGTTAAAGCAGTGCCCAGACTTGATGTGTTCCTACACTTGTTACTTGGAAGAAGCAGGAGGTGCTGGACAGGCTAGTGTACCAAATTCTCTGACAAATAAGCTCAGCTTGTTTGAACTGTGTCTCCCACCTGTACATACCCAGAACTAATGTTAAGGCCATGTTCCATCTCTTCTGACAGGTGTGGGATTATTAGTGCTTTCCTTGCTTATTCTCAGTTAGGAGTAGGATACTCAGCAGATGCCCTTGCTGGACAGACAAATTCCACATTGCTAATGCCACCTCTGAGTGAAAGGGGAGAGACCAAGGTTGTACAGCCTTTCATAGGAATTGGCAGAGTCCACATACAAGCCAGAAAAGCAGTGGAAGCTCCACAGAAAATAAAAAATACTTCTTCACTGAAGAAGGGAGCCTGGTTTTGACAGAACTCAGCCCAGTTCAACTGGGGTAAAAGTCAGTATTTATTGAAGACTACTTGGGATGGTCACAGTGGACAGACACCACATAAGGCCTCGCTCCCCCTTAGCACAAATGTTGCTCTTACGGACTGTGTGACAGCTCCTAGCTGTCTATTACTGCCTGTGTGCAATGGATCTGCCCTTTTCAGGTGAGAGCTGGACTGGTAATAAAGTACTGACTCCCCAGGGATGCACTGTATCAACACCTGTACTCTCACACAAGTCAAGATAGGAACAGGCTCTGGCTCCCCATTCCAAGTCAGTTCTTTATACAGTGGTAAGAGCACTTGAAATAAAGAGGCAGCAGCTGCTCTACATTCACCCAGAAGGCCGGCTGAAGAGATGGTTATCAAGATACAGTTTGTGACAGATCTTACTCCACTGGAAGATCAGATGAAGCTTGAAGGCAAGGAAGATTTGAAATCAGGTGCCTTTGTGAGCTCGCTCTTCTACATAGAGCTGCATCTGGAGAGAGAAACAAGCAACAGTCCTGTTAGTATACAGGCAGGTGAATGGGAAAAAAAAAAGCCTGCAACAGGCTGAATAGGAAGTGCTTATACCTTCCCCCATAACCAGGTTTCCTATTTTACTATGAGGAGTCTTGCCGTGCTTTGATTACTGGCACAGACATCTGCAAGACTAAGCTACTGCTCAGCAGTATGTTTTAAAGTTGTTACACCACAGAAAACTGCAGAGCTGATGTCAGAGCATTCAAAGCTCAGAACTACAGCAGGTTCAGCACCTCTTGGTCAGAATGCTCTGCTCACCTTTAAGATGTCAGATGTCATGGTTTTCAAGGGAATAAGCCGGGGGTCGTGCATGTGCACGTCTTGCTCATCAGCAAGGATCCAAGGGAAATCCTGGGGGCAGGAACACAAGGTGTTAGTGGCAGAACCCAGCAGTGCTGTAAGGTGAGCTCCTCCTCAGCACTTGTTTTGTGTTAAGTTGAAAGAGAGAGTGGCTGAGGGAAGGAACAGGCAATTCAGACCTTCCACAACAACAAAACACACGCTTGTCCCTGACGCTCAGCATAATTGTCTTCAGTTACAGCATCAAACTGTGAGGTCAACCCACTTCACTTTCTGCAAAGGTGACATCTCACTTCTTTTAAAAATACACTCTCAGCTGTCCTGAGCTACTATGCCCAGTTTATTACACCAAGATTTAACTGCAACTCCAGAATGCTTAGGGCATGGGTTTCCATCCTGCCTTGGGTCTAAAGGTGGGTCTACTACACCACAAGTTTCCACTACTAAGCAGTGCAGAACAGATTTTCATTTTGAAACAATTCTATACTTTGCTAGCTTAATTTGTTGTGCCTTATGACACCTAAAATAACTTGACTCAGGAAAAAAGGTTCCCTGTATCTAAGAAAGGATTCTTTAAAAATAATCTTCCTTTAGAAAGTGTTCTGCACACAGTTTCCTGTACAATGTATTTGTGCCCCCAAACCTGCTCTTTACTTTAATCTTAGTCTTTCTTGCTCTTTATACAAAATCAGCCACCACACAGTGGATGGTGGGTGAGGGCTGCTTTTTTGCTTGATTAAATTCAAGTACCTGTTCTACATGCCTGAGTATTTCTAAGTGTCTGAGCATGCACTGGACAGTGAGTATTGTTACAATCTATTTCAAGACCTGAAGTTATCTGCAGTGGTGGCTGTGTGTGGCAAATGTGCTGTCAGCTCACCAGCATAAACCATTTCACCACATTTCAAGTACAGTTATGATGTGCCTCATGGGACACCAACCTACACGTTCAAAATATCTCTCAGCCTTAACCTTAAAGATGCCAACAACTCTGCACTGCCCAGTCTTTGCTATGCAGCTTCTCACACACAATCAGATGCCCAAGGATATCACTCACCTTTATCACCTGGATCTTTTCCATGTTGCGTGTGGCAGCCTCCCGTGTGTGAACCAGAACTGTGAAGGTGCAACCTAAGAGAAGTGTCAGGTTCCAGCTCAGGGGACAGCTCCCAGAGGGTCAGCCAAGCCAACCAATGCCAGGCATGAGGCTGTTTGGATCCAAGTGACATTTACCTGGGGGGTTGTTGTCCAGCACAGCATCACACACGCTGATTTTCAGGATGAAGGCACGCAGTAACTGCTCCACGTGGGACAGCAGGGACTCAGAACTGTGGAGGAGACAGAAGTTGTTACTGGCATGCAGCAAAGGCCTGAAGTTGCTCCCAGAATATCTCCCAGGGCTGGGTGTTGGATGCCATGGGCAAACAGGAATGGAAACCTCACCTAATGGAAAGAAGAGGTGGCTGGGTGATCTCAAAGACAAATCTCTCCACGGGGTGGTGCTCTTTATCCAGAATTACAACCACAACTTTCTCCACATCGTTCTGCAGGAACCAAGACAGAAAAATCCCTTCCTTAATATGAGCTGTCGCTGCCCACAGTGTGCTTCACCTTCTTTGATGTAATGGAGTACACTCAGTTGTTGGGGCTTACAGCGCAAGCCCTTATCCAAACCTAACTTCAGATTATTCTTAGCAATCAGAAAAAAAGAAATGCTTTTGCAAAGCCATTTCTTGCTGGATGCTAAGCTGCCAGCTTGTGGCTGAGGGAGAGGAAGTGTCCTAAATTGTAAATTCCTCTAGATTCTGTTTTGGAACAAGGGAGGAAATGCACAGCCATCTCATTGCATCACTCTGGGAATGGACACTGATGAAGTTAAGATACATTCAGACCATTATCCAAACAGAGCAGCTTTGTACAACCACAATTTAGAACAGACCTAATTCCATTTTCTACATGTGCATTAAAATTGTCTGTAAAGAGCAAGGCATACAAAACCTGCCAGCAGCCTCCTGGAATATTTCATTGGTCACACCTTTCTCTTGCAAAACCTGGAGTCCAGGCCTACCTTTGCTTCCTGGTTCACAGCAAAGCATTCAAACTGTTCTGCCACAGCAGGTGCTTAAACTCTGATGGATTGTAAAGCAGAATGGTATAACTGGAAATATACAGACGTGTCCCTGTGTGGTACATGAGACAAGTAAGGCAGGGTCTTAACTGCCAGGAAAGGTTATGATGTTTTTAGTTTTGTTAGGAGCTTTTATCAGCTAGTGTATTGTGTATGGTACATCTGTAAACAAATGTTGCAGTTAAGATAATTTTTATGTTCTCTTACTTTCTATTAAATCCACCTGCAGTACTTTTGCCCAGGTCCCCAGTCTGAGCTCACCTTCTCCAGCAGTGGCTTTACACAGTGCAGCGTGTCCTGGATGTACTGGTTCAGCTCTGGGTGGCAGGACATCTGCAGCAAACACAGGGAAGAGTCAGAGCTGTATTTGACATGAGCCAGGACAATGCTAAAAGGAAAGGGAAGATTTAAACAGAAGCACCAGTGTGTACAAGGCATTCAAACCATGCTTCAAATAGTGCTGAAAGATGCTGAGTTGCCCATTCAAATCAGCAATTCCTTCAGGGAAGGGGTAATCAGCTGAGGCAGATCACTGCACCCATACAGTTGGTGTATATCTGCAATGTACACCCAAAACAGCATATTGGGAACAGCATATTCCAATCATCTCTACTTCCTAGTAAACATGCTCTCCTGTTACCTCACTGCACAGAGCTGGGGCAGCCTTCTACTACTGTTATCCATGATAACAGTATCCTGCTTGTCCCAGGAGCACTTGCTGTATCCTCAGCTATGGGGCTGTTCTCTCTTATGACAGGAACTAAGATCTCCTCAAAAATAAGTCCATCAAAAAGTCCTCAAAAAAAAAAGTACATTAAACAATCACTTGCTGAGTATAAGTTTTTTTCTGGTGAGTGTTGATTGATCCTTGCTATTTTGCTTGTCCACGTGGCTATCAGCTTCCAGGAAAATCTCCTACCTGGACAGGTACATTGTATTTTTTCCTCTTCTGAAAGATCCCAATAGGGTAAACTTCTCTGACATACAAGATGAGGTGAACAGCCACTTCCAGGAATTCTGAAAGAACATCTGCAACAACTGAAAAACAGAAGTAAAGGATGCTGGAATAAGGTGTGGGAAAGTAGAGCAATACCATAGACTCAGGGGACCTTTTTCTACAGGTTATTTTTTTCTGCATAAATTTCACCTGCCTCCTCTTAGCTGCAGAAAGTTTAGGGACAGAGCAGCCCTACAAGACTCCCCCAAGCTCAGTCCCAAGAGGAGCCTCACAAGGACACCAATTGCAGCTTAGTACAACACATTACCTTGCCCAAAGTTGAGGTCCTGCCGTGTGAGAGTGGTCATCTTCCCCAGACCCTGGAAGTAACCACAAAAGGAATGGTTATGCTCTGGCTGTATTATTCGTCTAGTCTGTTCATGGAGCTGTACACCAGAAGACCCTGTGAGCAGCCCCCATAAGCCCAGCCTGTCCTCAGGGATTACCAGCAGTGCACAAACCAGTGCTCACACCTCAGGATGAGAGATTATTCATAATTTAATTACTGGGGTTTTCAGTCTCTCTCCATTTCTGGGATACAGGAAAGTTCAGACAAATACTTTTTAGTAACACAAGATAGCTTTTCTAAAGCTTCATAGTACTTGCCTTTTCTAAGCCCTATCTCTTACTATAACACAAGAACTTCTCAGGGTTTTGGGTTTATTCTGACACCACCACAAACCATTGCTTGTCCAAGCTTGGAGCCACTGACATCTTCCACTGACACAGGTTCTCATGTGCTGCCACTGCCAACAACTTCTGAGTTGCTCTCTGCAGTCCCAAGGAACCCAAACCCTGCAGAGCTGCATAATTAAGTCAACTTTGTGACACAGGATTATGGAATTCCTCAGGTTGGAAGGCACCTATAAGGATCATGGAGTTCAACTCCCTGCTCCTCACAGGACCATCTAAAACTAAACTATGTGACTTAGAGCATCATTCAGCTGCTCCTTGAACTCTGGCAGGCTTGGGCTGTGACTACATCCCTGGGGAGCCTTAAATTTGTGAGCAACAAAGGGCAGCACATTATTGTGACAAACTGACTCTCATGTGCCAACAACTGAACAGCAGATGCTGGAGTTCAGCTTCTCAACAGCTTTCCCTGCATAGCAGACTCCATGCCTTACACAATTTAAGTCATGGTGTACATAATTATCTGTTAGAAACTTTGTTTTGTTTAATTATTTTATCCACACTCTCTGCAAGCTAACAAATTCTAACCACTAACAGCAGCACCATTCATGAGCTGCAGAGGTCTTTAAATGCCTCTGGAGCACTCTGGCTCCACCAGTAACTCAGGTGTTCTACAAAGACTTTTGACAAACCACAGATGTTCCAATAAGCTCTTTAGACACTGATTTTCAAGCTGTTTTAGCTGCAACAAAACATGTTTTTCAGACCTACAAAGAATTAGTTCGACCTGCACAAAACAGGTGCTACTTTCATCCCCAGTTTTTAAAACAGATATATGTATATATATATATAGATAGAGATATATGTGTGTGTGTGTGTGTATATATATATACATATAACAGATAGATAACCTTTTATATCACTGTATACAAGGACTTCCTGGAATATTAGTGATCTGCTACACTAAATAAAATTAAGATAGTTAAGCATCTCATTTAGCACCCCAGCCACAGTGGCTCTCAAATTAGTACAAAAGATCTACAGAGTATCATAAACAATCTGTGTTTTTAGAGGTTTAGGTTCACATCCTCCCTTAAACTTCATTCCTTCTTCAAGAGATGCCCGAGCAACCCAAGGGATCCACCCTTCCACACAGTCACAAAGTAGGAACTAGACACTACATGCTCAAGGACTGTGCAGGCTGGGAGATCATGGAATCACAGAACAGCCTGGGTTGGAAGGGACCTTAAAGCTCATCTTACTACAACACCCTGCCAGAGGCAGAGCCTTCCTCCACTATCCCAGGCTGCTACAAACTCCATCCAGCCTGGCCTTGCACATTTCCGGGGATGGGGTATATCATGGAAGTATAACCCACCGCCCTGCCCGTGCCGGTCACCAGAGCTCCCGCAGCAGCCCAGAGCAGCCCGCACTGCTGCCCCAGCAGCGCCGAGCCGTGCCGTGCCGTGCCCGGGCTCCAGCCACCGCCGCTCCTCGCCCACTGCGGTGTCTCACCCGCGCGGGCAGGAGGGCGGGCGGATGGGGACAGACCCCCGAGCGCCCCGGTCCCACCCTCACGGCACTGCCCTCACGGCACTGCCCCTCCTCAGCATTCCCGAGCCCGGGAACCGCCCGTTCGCCGGGCTCCCTCCCGAAACGGGGCACGGCACTGCCCCTCCTCAGCATTCCCGAGCCCGGGAACCGCCCGTTCGCCGGGGCTCCCTCCCGAAACAGGGCTGCTCGCATGGCCCGCCGCCCACACTGCCGCCCAGGGCACCGCCTCAGCACGGCCACCTGCCCCCGTGTCTCCCCCCGAGCCCGTGTCCGCCCAGTGCTCCTCCCCGCCCCGCTGTCATGCTCCGGGTGTTCCCTCTCGCACCGCCGTGTCCCCGCTCCCTACCGGGCCGGCCGCCCCTCACGCCCGCCCAGCGCGGGAGGCGGTGGCAGCGCCTGCGGATGACGTCAGTGCGGGGCGGCGAGCGCCCCCCGGCGGGCGGGAGGAGCGGGCGCGGGGCCGGTCCCGCTGCCCCCGCGGGGTCCCGGCGCCTCCTCAGCTCCCCCGGCACGGCGGGGCCGCGGGCTCGGCGCAGGGAGCGGGGCACGCTGAGCCACCAGCGGCTCTCCCTCCCCGGGACCATAACGCGGGGGAAGCCTGCGGGAGAGCGGAGCCCGCCCCACGGCGCAGGTGAGCGGGGCTCACCGGCTCACCCGCTCCCCGCCTCCCCGGGCTGCCACGCCTTTGTCTCCGGCCTTTGTCTGTCCCGTCCGTGCCCGGGGCAGGGACCGCTGCTGCCACCAGCATCCTGCGCTCTCGCACCTCCTCCTTAGCGCCGGGCAGCCCCGCACACGCTCCCTGGCATGCCCCTGCACTCCTCCCGTGACCCCCGCACGCCCAGAGCCCCTCCGCCCCTCCCAGCCCCACCTCCTCCGGCACCATGCACCCCAGTCCCCCGGGATTCCCAATGTCCCCGATTCCTCTCCACATTCCCCCACTGCCTTCCCCCTGTCTCCTCCTCCTCTTCCTCTTCCTCCTCCTCCTCCTCTCCTTTCGGGTTTGAACACCCCTTGCCCCCCGCAGACCTGCCTCCCCTCCGCCGCTCGCACAGCTCTGCGCTGCCCTGCCTGCCGGGCTCCGCCAGACCGGGACCTTCGGACAGGTAGGCAGCGCTGCCCGCGCCGTGCTCACCCCGCCCCGGGGCCAGCGGTGGATGCTCCGCCGAGTTCATTCCCCTCTGCTGTCGCAGGGACTGGGGAGGAGTGGGGAACACCTTCCCACTTTCCGTGCGCCCCGGAGGAGACAAAGACACGGACTGACGGGGATCCCCGGTCCTGCCGCCGTCGGGATGCGCGCGGAGCTCCGGTTACGGCGGCATCGCTCAGCGGTGCGGGCGGGCAGAGAGCTCGGACAGCGCCGGTGCCGGGGCGCGGTGCCTTCGGCCAGACCTATTGTCACCCGCGCTGGGCAGCGGGCTCCGGACTCTACGGGTCCCGCCGCGGTTCTCCACGCGGCTCGCCTCCGTGCCCTGCGCCGTGTGCCTCGCGGGGATGCGCGGTGCGGGCTCTGGGACTCGCGTCCCACCGCCACTGCCGGTCACTCCTGCACGCTTCCTCCTCAGATCGCTCTGGGAAGCAAAGTCGCCTCGGACAGAGGCACCGTCGCTCTCTCGGGGCCCCGGGGGTACGTCCCGGCTCCGAGCCAGAGATGCCGAGGGGCGACGGAAGCTTTTCCCACGGAGTCATTGTGTTTACAGAGCCGTGCGCTGCCATGCACCGAGCCCCTGCGTACCCGCGGCTTGCTGTCTGTTCTTCCTCTGTTGATAAAAGTGAGGTCTCATTTCTGAATTAGATCAACTTGGCATCAGTTAATGGCTTATTGCAATTAGTGATTGATCACACAGAATTTAAGTGGCACTTATCTAATTCACACCTAAAGTTTTCTGTCAGCTGGAGGGTTTAATCGAAGTATTTTTGTATTCCCATGTCCTCTCCCTTGAAGAAGGAGGCATTAATTCTATACATATGGGTCAAAGTGAGAGTGTCATGCAAGGAAAAATGTTGAAAGCACAGCCTAACTGTTTTGCCAGTCGAGACACATCCATGTCGCCTCCTTTGCGAAGCTCAGGGCAAATCTGCCCCATTCTTCCCTGTAACACTGGCGAGTACTTTCCAGCTGGGTGAGCAATAACCTTTCCTATTGATTGTGTCCCATTTGTCACCTGGCATTGCACATGCAACTGAAGAGTCTTCTCTGCCATGCTGACAGCAAGCAACTGTATCCTGGATGTGAATCTCAGGCTCATTGCTGTTTTAGTGTCTTTATTGGGTAGAGTGGACTCTGTTTGATAGCAGGTCGCCTGTGGTGGCGGCGTCAGCCACACTGTGAAGTCCCAGAGGGAAGCAGAGCAGAGGGTACTGCATATTCATTCATGGGCCCCTCTTACCCTTCAAAGCAGTGACTTGCTGGGCTGACCTGTCCCTGGCAGATGCTGTGTTGGGAAGCTCTCAGGGCAGGCTGGGCTAGGCTCAGGAGAGAGTGGCACAGCTGTGGCTAGGGGCATGTATTGACTTGAAGGTGTCCAGCATCGACCAAAACCGGGGTGCTGGAGCTCAGCAGGGACTCAGGCAGCTCACAAGCCTGGGCTGCAGCAAAGGGAGTTCCCTGGGCTGTGCTGTGTGAACAGATGACTTCTGTCCTCATCAGCAGAGTAGAGCACAGGCTGTCAGCCGGAGCTGATGGGTGAGAGGAGCCCCAGCTCCAGCCCTACAACTAATGTTGAATGAATCAAGTTTCAAGTGGTCACTGAATACAAATTGCCCCAGGGAGAGGCTTTGTGAAGGCACAGGGGATAGCCACAACTACTACTTAATGCCTTGCAAGCCTGAATCCTTATGTCCTGTCTCTCCTGCC